CATTGAGCATGTCTGGGCCATACTTGCTCAAGCGGTGAGAAAAAGTTCCAGAAAACCAGCGACCCGTGGAGAGCTACTTGATGTTTCGCATGCAACCTGGGTTAACATCATACAGGAGAAAATGGCAGAACTCATTGATTCCATGCCAGAACAAGTCAAAGCACTGAAAAATGCTAGTGGAAAATAGACTAAGTACTGATGCACATTTGTAACATTTTTGTCAAGTTGATAATGTGAGATATATGACTATTGAAAAAAGTCATGGTGTCTGTTTACTTTTAAGATGTCTCTGTATAACGAATATAAACTAGTACAAAGTGGTCATGTGATTGGTCAATTTGACCAAGCCTGTGTAGAGAGAGTTAATGTGAAAAATGCTTTTTTGCAACTAACAGTTTTCCAAATTCCTTTGCGTAACCTCTAAAATCTTCTAAATATATATATCAATTGTTTTTTTCAATCTGTTATTTTCTCTACTCTAACTCTATACAAACTCAGTTGATGTGACTGACCTTGTAGCCACCACAAAATAATGTGAAATAAATCTAAATTACTCTTGTCTCTTTCTAGAATGACTGTAACAAAAGATTACAGTTCTTTATCCTAAACAGCTGAAGACTTGTAACTGTTTACATTTGTTTTTATTTAATTTTATTTCTCTTTGAACTTTGTCTATCTGATAAGCCTTTGATAACAAGCTGTAAATCTAAGGTAAATGTGTATCTAAAGTTACAATATTAAATGACATAATGCATAAGCTGCTTGGGAGCATACATCATGGAGAACTTTTTTTATTATTTTTTGTTATCTAACCTAATAAGTTTCTAACTTTTACATTGTAGTTACTGTTATAATAATAAATAAAAATATACGTAAAAACATAATAATTCATGTACGATAACTTACCTCCAATCACTAAATGTTTACTCGACTTATACTGCCTTCTATCAGAACAAATTTTTCGCTTGCCACTAGCCTTGATACTTCCTCTTATTTCTGCATAATGACATACAAATAATTATACAGCAACCCTCCATCAATAGGAGTGTGACACTACCCCTATCTTAACTAACACCCTTTCTAATCTTGCACATGTTAACCATTTCTCAATTGGCAGTCCTATTGAATAGATGTTTTTGCTCGCAGTTTGATTCACTTATCCAAAAGTTTTTACTTTTGTAGTTTTTCTGTTTTAATTACATTCTTCTTTACCATTTTCATTCTCTTTTGTGGAAAGTTGCGAATTACTTTATCTTTTATAATCTTTCAATTTCATAAGTTATGCACTTGCAGTTTCACATGGTCATGACTAGAACTGCTGCAGCAGAATTACTGACTGCGTCCAAGGGTTCAAAACCCTGATTCTCGGCCCAAGAAGTGACAGCTCTGGTCCATCAGGAGTTGATCAATTTCATGTAAGAAACTGACGATTGTCATATCATGGTTTTAAGTGGTCAGGAAGTTTTGGATTTGGACAGCTTTCTTCCCCTCCTGAGTATGCCTGTCAGTCACATGTCATTTTGGGGGACTTGCCCAGTCCTCTTTCCTTTGATGGATTTGAATTTTCAGGTATGTTATGTTCTGTCCTTAACTCTCATTTTTCTATGTTCCACCTCTGCTCTTCTCGGGGACTAGACTTTGGGTCATAATGTTAGTGTTTCCTCCTTCTCTAGATATTGGGGTTTATGTGAGTCATTTTGGGGAGCATTTGCATTCGGGGTCGGTATGTCTTGACTCCCATGTACTGTGGATGCTTTTGTTTAT